AAAAAAAATAAAAAATATTTCCTTTTATTGTAATAACTATACATTGTTCTTTTCCGTGTTTACTTCATTCTCCCACAACCTATCTATAACTTATTACGTCCACAAATTTCCTCCCTATCCCTTGATTCCTTTCCTCTTCTCGTTTCTCATTACTTTATTCTATACATCTGAACAACACGCGTTGACTGCCATCTCCTTTCTATAAATCTATTACAATTCACAATTATTTTTATACTTTATACATTTTATTCATGTCTAACAGATCCGCACTTAGGGCTCGCTCGACACACACACACACACACACTCGCACCACACACACACACACACACACACACACACACACACACACACACACACGCATATTACACGCACACATTGTTGCTGTTGTTGTTGTTGGTGGTGGTAGTGGTAGCGGTTGTGATGATACTGTTGTTGTTGTTGTTGTTGTTGTTGTTGTTGTTGTTGGCGGTGGTGGTGGTGATGGTGGTGGTGATGCTGTTGGTGGTGGTGGTTGTGATGTTGCTGTTGTTGTTGTTGTTGTTGTTGTTGTTGTTGTTGTTGTTGTTGTTGTTGTTATTGCTGTAGTTGTTATTGTTGTTTGTGATGGTGGTGGTAGTGGTGGTGGTGATGTTATCACTGTTATTGATGTTGGTGTTGTTGTTGGTGGTGTTGATGTTGTTGTTGGTGGCAGTGTCCATTTAAAAACACATTTCTGTGTGGACTTCACTGAACCCCCCCCCCCCCAACCACCTTTCCTATCAACATCTATCGTAGTTATCTCCCCTCCTTCTCTTCTACGTATGTTCCTACAGAGAGTGGTTCCTCTGTGGACACACCTCTAATCATCAGCACTTACATGAGCTGTTTGTGTTGCAAGTACCGGAAAACTCTCTCTAAAATTTATTTTCCAAACACAAAAAAGCCTCAAAGCAAAGCAAAACAAAACAAAAACCAACAGCAGCAACCCCCCTCTCCCCCCTCTCCCCCCCTCCCCCCTCCCCCCTCCCCCCCCCAAACAAACAAAAAAACAACAACAACCGTTCTCGGACTCACGGGGCAGTCTGAGCTTGCTGACTGGTCTGGCAGCTGAAGCTAAAGGCCCACGTACAGTGCTTGAGTTTGGGATTGAACTGCAGCCCTGTGGCGCAGTTCACTTTGTATGCCATCTGGGGAGAAATGGTTGCATGAGTTGGTTGCGTCCCTCAAAACTAAGGGTTTGATAATAAAATTAATTTAAATAATAGTGATAATGATAATGATAAAAATAAGAATAATAATAATAATAATAATAATAATAATAATAATAATAATAATAATAATAATAATAATAGTAAGAAGAAGAAGAAGAAGAAGAAGAAGAAGAAGAAGAAGAAGAAGAAGAAGAAGAAGAAGAAGAAGAAGAAGAAGAAGAAGAAGAAGAAGAAGAAGAAGAAGAAGAAGAAGAAGAAGAAGAAGTCAACCCACTTCTATTAAAAAAAATTCTATTTTGTGTCTTTTTTTTTTTTACTGGTCCTGTGTCCCTTTTTCTGGGTGCCATGTTAGTGATCTTTTTCGTATAAGACATTCATGTGAGTGAGTAGGTGCTATGACATTTCAACATTAAAATGGATCTATAAGAGAATGTGAATAACAATAATTAAGTCTATTAGTTAGTGTTTGGTTATTTAATTAATTAGTAGTTTTTCACCAAAAGTTTTCCCCCTTTTCAGTTTTGTCGTCTATTCTACCCCCCCCCCCCCCCACCCACACACACACACCCCCGCAAGTTGTTCTGGGGAATGGGCCACGTACCACGTCCCCATTCTCCTCGCAAAGAGAGACCAGATTTTGAAACGATTTATCATTTGTCACCGACCCTAGATCTATCTGTCCCCGTGGTTTTATGCACCCGCATAATTTTATCAAAGTTTGATCAATTTTTGCATAATTTCTGAAATTATTTTCCTTTATCATTCTTTGATAAAATAAACAAAACCCCATAATTTCCCACTTTTTTGGGGGCCCAGTTTGGCTAATTTCCGAATTTTTTTCTTGGCAAAAAACGGAGGAGGACGCCCCCTATTAAATTTAAAAAGGGTTGCAACCCCCCCCCCCAAAAACAAAAACCCTTCCCCAACTCCCCAAATGGGCCGCCCTTTTCTATTTTTTTTGGGGGAAAGGTTGTTTAGTATCCTATCATGGCAAAAGACCCAAAAAACTTCCCTGTCTATATGGGGTAGGAGAGGGGTTTT